GGGCTTGTAACCGCGGCGCGATCGCTGAACGAAACTGACGCAAGTTACAATTGAAAATCCGGTTCGCAACGGCGGCCGCAACACGGAAAGAAACCGCCGCATCCATAGAAAATGAGATACCTTTCAGCAGCGTCGGGAATATGGGTCACCGAATGAAACACAGTGGCTAGGTAAATAGATTGAGGGTGTGCGCGCGGATTGAGGCGCGGGAGACAGTGGGAACGGAGTCGATAGGTTTTATCTCGACCCGGTTGGCATGGCATTTGCAAAATTAATCATCGACGGCGTACGACGTTCTATAAGGCTCGCTGGGGCGAGCACCTCGTGTTTTCAAAAAACCGAGAGAGCCGACACCGAAACTTCGAACGGATGTGGAATTCAGTAATTAAAAGTTCGACCGGGTTGGAATACTAGGGCTTTTTTCCTCTAGCGTTGACCGTGCGATAGCGTGTCTTGGTTGTTTTTAGTGTCGACGGGGAAATAAAGAAGCAGCGAGCATTGTACTGAAGGGAGGGGCAGTCGGGTGATCAGGGAGATTTTTAACCCTTTGCAGTCGAATTGCGAGCCTGAGGCGCCGCTGAAAATTGCTATATAATATATATATAATAATATTGTGTGCAACTGAATATTATATATTATTTATTATATATATTATTATATATTATATATAAACATAATAAATAAATAAAATAATTAATTAATAAATTAAAATAAATAATAAATTTATTAAATATATAATTAGCTATATATATATTTAATAAATTTGTTTACATTGAAAGAATTGTTAAAGGTGTAGTTATTGTACGAGCGAGTAAACTGGCTTTCATATGCAAACAATACAAAAATAATAGTTAACAGAATATACAGGGTGTCGTGGAACTGATGGTACAACCGGATAAGGGCTGATTCTATGTTAAAAAATAGGTCGACGGAAAAGAATAGCATTTTTCCATTTAAAGCTCCGTTTTGGAGGAAACTGAAGCTTATAGTATGACGAGAAGTAGAATTTTGATATGTATAACAAATTTTTTATAATTATCCCATAGTTTGTAAAGAAAAATAGACAATTTTGGAAGAGGGGTTACGATTATTTATATATAAATAACCTTGACATAAACTTGACCAAACTCGATCCCTATTCAACGGTATTATTTTTTCAACTTATCTCTTCTCAAAAACGGAGCCTTAAATGAAACGATATTATTCTTTCTTTTCGACTTATTTTTTTTACGTAGAATCAGCCCCAATTAAGTTGCACCACCAATAACACAACACCCTGTATTTTCTGAGCCTTCTTAACTCTTTGGGGCACACGATTTCAGAAAATAAAATAGATCGCTTGATCTTCGACCGCATCATCCACAGTTTCGTCGAACACGGAACCCATGGAGACTTGTCTCATATCTTATCGCGCGTCGCCGGTGTCCCCAGCGTAAAACTGAAGCGCGCAGCAACCATCGTTCACGGTTGATCGATCTGCGGCTGGTTCGTCCACAGTTTCAACGATTGCATGACTTAGCGTCTGTTTTCATTCCGAGCGAGACAATCTGTCAGAGTTCCACGGTGCCGGAGCATCGCGGTGCGTAATGCGAAAGGGGAAACAAGCAAGCAACAGCCAACGATGGCTGACTAGACGCCTAGAAGAGCGCCGGATGCCTGTGGCGTGCACACGCGAGAGGTTAACGCGGGATCTCTTCTGAAACGAAATATCGATTCCCGGCAGGCGGCCGGAGAATCGTGCCACCCTTACAGCTGTAACGGGAATATCAGAAGAGAAGAGGACCTCGGGGGAGAGGGAAGGGGGAGGGAGACAGATATGTATAGAGCGAAAGAGAGAGAGAGAGAGAGAGAGTGCGAGAGAGGGATGAGCGAAAGAAAGAGGGAAAGAGCGAGCGAAAGGGAGGCAGAGAAAGAGAGCGCGAGGGGTGCCGCACGGCCATCCTGCCTCGTGTACACCACCGGCAGAACCACCCTCCTGTTGCCAACCGGGCATCGATCCAACGGCCAACCGCCACGTTCTCCTCTGGTCTACCAAGAAAGCATCCCTGCCTGTTTCCTTCCGCCGGCAGATTCTCGGGAGAATCTGTCGCGATTCCGTCGCCGCCGGACAGGTCGGCGACCGGCGAAAGGAAATTAATCGAACGAGAGTTCGATTGGGACCGAGAGATCGGCCCGCGCTCGTCCAAGCAGGGTGGAAGGGGGGAGGCGTCCCCCGAGATTTTTAAACGGTCGCACGTGCACAGGACACACGGCCGGCCGAGCGAGTGAAAGGAAAACGGACTCGCGCGTATCTTGAGGCGCGCTCGCCGAGACAATGTCCCCGGCATACAAAGGCGGCCGAGCAAACGTGAATCACACGGCTTCTCGTCGGTACAATCGTGTCGGAGAGAGATAACAGTCCCGTGACATTATTGAAAGGCGAAACACCCGTCGAAGAACGACGCCGTGACGCGCTAATGAATCAACGCGCGCGCGCGCGCAAGACGCAGAAGCGTTCCCTTCCGCCTCGCCGCGAAAGAATCGCTGGGGCACCGGGGCCGTGTACCGCGGCCAGAAAAATTCCGCGGAGCCTCCCGGTTCCTTGTACCGCGGGGTTTATCGCGGCCCCCGTGCGAGTGTACAGGAAACGAAAGGAAGCGTGTCCGAGAGCGAGAACAAGGTCGTATTTCGCAATCACTCGGTGTCAGCGGACGCTTTTTACCGGGTCTGTCGCGCGGTTTAGCCCGGCCAGCCTTTCTATTCGGAGGGAAACGCGGCTGCCGGGCCCGTGTAATTACGGCGCGGGATCGACGACGGTTCGTTCCGCTGAAAAAACCGTGGCTTGTAAGCAAATTGTGCATGTCCCGTGCACCGGGACTGAAAAAGGCCGGGTACAGGCGCATTGTATACGGTGTCGCAAACGCTCGCGTTCGACGTGTAACGTCGATAAGAGTCCCACCGCTTCGGGCCCACAGGATTTCCCACGCGTCGCGGCTTCTGCGACCGATCCGTTCCGAGGAACATCCGAGTTTTCGGAGACGCCCCCCCCCCCCCCCCCTCCCCCCCCCCCCCCCCCCCCCCGCCGGGCC